GGGCGGCGCTGGGCCGCGCTTGGAGGCCTTCCCTCTTCCTCCTTCCTCTGGAGTGCCTCCGTGGGTCTCGGCTGGGCGTTCGGGCGCGGGGGCTGCGGGGCTCTGTCGTGGGGGAGGCTCTGACAGGCGGCTGGGCTCCCTGTCTCAGCAGAGACCAAGGGCTCGACCCTGCTTCAAGGACTTGGGAGTGTGGAAGTTGCGTGCTTCTGTTTTTCTTCTACTTCTTGCGCCAGAATCTTTGATTGTTGTGGAGTTTGTTCTTGTATTTCTGTATCTTTCTTCTTTCCATAATCTGGCTTTTACTAGAGGGGACTTAAGGGCAGAAACTGCCAGTTCTTGAATGTTGAAAAGTCCTTGCTATGCTATGCAAAATATTAGTAGGAAAGAAATTATTAAACGAGCTATTTACATTTCCGGGATTAGGGTGCATTTGTCAGTGTCCTGGGAAGCAGTACCAGGGAGGAAAGGATTATACTTTCTGGCTTGTACTTGAAAGTTTTTCCTGAGTATGCCAGGTCATGTGGCTGAGAGTGACAGTGATGTCTCTATACATCTGGAAAAAAACCAGAAAAGTCTAGGTGTATACAGTATGTGTCACAGAGCTCTCAAATTCTGAGACTGAGTGTAGTGCTCTAAATTAAAAGGATGTAAGACCAAAGACTTAATCAGCAACTAGAGCTGTTGCTTTCAGGGTGAGTGGCTGTGCTGCAGCTCTGCTGGGTAACCTTTGACTAGTGGAAACCTGTCGCCTTGCCATGTGTCCTGGAGCTCATGAGCTGTCAGGAGTAAGGAATACAAATTCTGTTACTCATTCCTTAGGGAGACACATGGAAATAACACTACAAAAAGTGCTATTAGAGATTTCTTCTCTGGATGTATTCGTTAATTCTGTCTCAAATATGAGTCACTGGTCATGCAGCTTCTTCAAAGGAGAAAGTCAGAGGACAGCTCAGGTGTCTGATTTGAGCTATTGGTCTTCCTGGTTAGAAGTGTCTTCATAAAAGAGTGGATAAATGAAAATGGGGTTAAGGGCTATTTAAAATATGAATAAAAAAGTACAGCTCTTTACTCTTTCCTTTTGGAAAATTAATAATTATTAGAAGGGGGTTAATGTAAGTATCTTTCAAACTGTTAGAGAAATACACGCATTTGTCAATACTGGAAGGCTTGACTGTAGTTGTAATTAAATAAAAGTATCTGGTCTATATTATACATCTGGGAACTTGAAACCTGTTTGACCTTAGAATCACTCAAATTTAACATCATATTAGTTAAGGTTTGAAAGGTAACATTAATTTTGCTATGGAAATATTTCTTTGTCAGTCTGTGAATGGCAAAAGTTAATAGGTAACTTTTTCCCTCAAAAGGTTTTATGTGAGTTCTGAGCACTGAGTCTGCCAGTAAATAGTGGTTTTGAGTAAAAAAAAAAAAACTTAATAGTTTCAGAAGCCACAAATAGATGTGAAAGATATGATCAGCTGAATCTGTGAAGACCTTTTACTGAGGATCTCTGCTAGGTTCCATACTCTTGTGCAGCTTAAATTCTGCATTGTTAACATCTCAGTTCTCATGAAGACATCATCTTTAACTGCCCAAGGCAAATGTCTCAAATAATGCTTCCTTCTAGGCTTTCTGTCTCTGATTTGTAGCTTGAGTCATATTAGGAGAAACAGTTCTAGGTAGTTGCTGATGTGAAGTTCTGCAGCAGCAACCACAGAGCTCGGTGGAGTTCCTCACTGCTGCTGTGAGGCACAGGACTGACAGCAGCCCCACTTTTTTTTGTGGGCTGTGAAAGAGCAGCATGCAACTTTCTGGAAAAATGCAAAACTTCCTTTCAAATGGCATCATTATTTGCCACCTTCCACAAGGCAATAAGACAGTGAAATGACAAAAACTGTTGGGTATGGAAATAAAATCTGTGTATAGATATATTTTTTTTAATTTATTGATTATCAAAGAAACTTTAAAGCTAAGCATTGTTTGAAGGGATGGAAGAGGATGAGAATGCCAAATTTGGAGTCTGAAAAGGAAGTTAAATTAAGTGCTTACTGCATGAACATTTTATGTCCTTCATAGGTGGCTTGAAACGTCCTGTTCATAAGCATATGCATAAGGAATGCTCTTGGCACACCTTGATAAGTTACTTTGGCCTAAACATCGATTCCCTCTTGTAAAAACCTGTAAGTAAAATAAATGTAATTTGATTTAAGATTGTTTTGATGATTTGCTTGCTGATCACAGCGTGATCTGCTTGTAGTAGGAAAAGTGTATACTAGTTACCTTGTTTTGTAAAACAGGCAAATCTTTGGTTATATGAACTGACACTGTAACAAAGACTCTACAGGCTGAATCATTTATTGTGTTTCACAGAAATGGCAGCTCAGAAAAGGAAGTCTGTGTTAGTGGAGCCTTCTGCTAAACGTCCCAAGCTGGACAAGAACAGCAAACCAGCGCTGGCGAAGAAGGAAAGGGAGGTGTCAGATTCAAAACATGCTTCAAATAAATCGAAGCCTAATCACTGTGCAGTGCAGGATAAAACTGTACTTAAAACCTCTGTCAGCTCACACAGGTCAGTGCCAAAACAATAAGTCATTGTTCTAGGTTATCTTTGAGGTCTTCATTCTGCTTAGATTGTTTCTGTAGTAATTTATTTGAGTTAAAGATACAGCTAAATATTTAAATAGTGCTAGTGGGAAGGTCAGCCTTAAATCATGAAGTATGATATCTGCTTATGTGATCTTCCTTTGGAACTGTGTTGATGTCTTGAAATCCAAAAAGACTTCCTTTCTGAAAGGAAGAGTTTCTGAAGCAAAGATAAGTCTAATACTATATAAGCAAATACTTTATTTGAAAGCCACAAATGTCAACAATTAAAATCTACTAGAGATGCTAAAAAGCATTCACATGGGGTTCATAGTTCAGTCTTGCCATTTCTAAAAAACATTATGTACTACACTTGAGACTGGATCTTAGAAATTCTTCAGTACAAGGGTGGTGAAACTCTGGAATAGATTGCTCAGAGAGGCTGTGGATGGATGGGTCCTCCTTGAAGGGTTCAAGGCCAGGTTAGATGAGACCTTGAGCAGCCTAGTCTAGTTGAGAGGTGGGAGGTTGGACTACATGATCTCTAGGGTCCCTTCAGACTGAGCCGTTCTGTGACTTAAGAGTAACCAGGTGGAAATGAAGTCTTTTTAGAATGATTCTAAAGAAAATTCTAAAAGTAGTGAGGGTGTAACATCTAGTGTTTTTAAAAAGAAAATAAAAAGAGGAAGATGTTAACAGGAATGAAAAGAGTCTTATGGCAAATTCTACTTTCTGGATGCTGTGAAAAAATAATATTTTGCATGTTTCAGTGACAGCACAAATGAACCTGAAGTAGGAGCACGCATGACTACGAGATCATCAGCACTCAACTCGAGTCATAAAACAGTACTGGACAAAAAGGCCCCACAGCAGCCTAAACCTGCAAAAAATAAGGAGGTATGCCAGCAAAAATCTGTGCAAGACATTCCTAAGTCAACATGCATAACTGCATCAAGTGAGCCAGTAATGAGGAGATCACAGAGACTGCAGCAGTTAACACATGTACAGGAACCAGCAAGATCCCTGCGCAGCAGAGAAGTTAGAGAAGAAAAAGCTCTGGAAGTCAAGCAAAGTAGCCAGGCAAAAAGACACTCTCACAGTGTTGCAGCAAAAGTGCTTAAATCTGCTGGGGAGAAAAAAGAGCAGAAAATGACAAAAAAAGCCCCAAACACCACAAAAGAGGACAAGGAAATACGTGTAGAAGTGACCAGCTCTCTGAAAGAGAAAAAATGTAAAGCAGACAGTAAAAATGGTAGTTCCAACAGCTTTCAACAGAACCCTCAAGGGTCGTCATCGTGTCCTGATGAAAGCCTTGAGGAAGTCAAGAAAGACCAAATGGACCCTGTATCTCTGTCACAATCTCCTATTCCTAGCAACACAAAGACAGTGGAGACAGATTCTCCTAAGCCAAATTCGAAGACAGCATCTAAGGAAAAACAAATACATCAGAATGTAAAAACCAGTCCAAAACCAAAAAACACTTCACAGCCATCTGTAAGTGAAACAAACGTGACTGATCAAGCAGAGAGCAATGCAAGATCCAAAAGGGTAAGCATCCTTGAACTCTGTGAAGAAATCGCAGGTGAGATTGAATCGGATACCGTGGAGGTGAAAAAAGATTCCCCTAGTGCTGAGCCCAGCAAACCTGCAGAGAAGCTTGCTGAAGTGCAGCCTCCACAGGGTGAAATGCTCACTCAGAAAGAACCCACTCAGAGTACTCAGTGCAAGCGCTTTTTCCCTAGCAAAAAAGGAATGCCTGTCAAGTGCACCCTGAATGGTAGAAATAACTCCTCAAACAAAAACTCTAAATGGACCAAAATTAAGTTACTGAAAGCTAGTAATGTGAAGCAAAGCAGCTTACACTCTGCAAATGTCCCCAAGCTTTCTTTGTTGAAAGATTACCCTGAAGTTTCAGAGGCAAGTCAGACAGCTACAGAAGCAGAGCTTTTGGAGGCACAAGGCAAGCTGTCAGTGATGGGACTCTCTGAGGATGAAAGTGCAACTGGTGTGCAGGAGAAGTCGGAGCCTTTCTCTGAAAGTGCTGGCACAAAAGAAGTGACATTAGAAATGAAGCAGCCCACAAAGAGAGGTGCAGAAAACGGCTTGGTGCAGAATGTGACAAAACACGCGTGTGAGGGGAGCACAGAGGAGGTAACTCAGTGTAATTGTGGTGTGTGGTGGGAGGGGGTTCGGAGTGTGTTCTCTTTGCTGAGAAGGCCATCCTCAGAAAATGTGTTGTAACAATGACTTCATTTTGCAGTAACTTAAAATTTCCGAATGTATTAAAGATCCTTTACTGGTGCTGTGTCATAGATGGGATGATGGTGAGCTGGAAGATGAATCTGTTCCATCCTTTTAGGTTCTGCAGTTAACTCAGTGTTGAGCAGTAAAATTTCCTGCTGGAGCTGGAGGTTGTACAGATTCATACGGACCCTTTTTGATGACTTGAAGTTTTCTGTTCTGAAAAGGTGTTAAAAGAAGTGAGAGGGGGCAAGTGTTCTCTATCTGAATAAGCTTCTATTGAAATTTAAGATTTTAAAGACAAAAGTGTTCTACAGGAACTATTTTACAAGCTTATATATAAAACAAAATTATTTTTTTTTCAAAATTAATACCACAAGCTTCAACATGGACTAGCTGATCAATTGCATCCTCTTTGCTTAAAGCAACGTAGGAATTGGAAACCTGATGCTGTATTCTAAGATACTAATTAACTCACTAATTTTGTTAATAGGTTAGAGGCATTAGTTTGGAGTTTTTACTTGTTTTCTGTTTTGTTTAGAACTTCCAATTATGTTTGGAATCAAGTCCAGAAGTTTCTCCAGTAGAGCGTGTTACAGCTCCTAAACCACCAAAACAATTAAAAAAAGAACCTGGAGAAGGTGAACATCAAGGTAACTGTTTACTACTAGTTTTTTCTCTTCTTCTGACCAATTATATGGGAAGCATAAGTCTTCTTTTTAGAGGAGCATTTCACAGAATGAGGTAATTTGGTGCAATCCTTCTGGTATTGCAGCTGTTCACCAGGGTCTTCACAGATCTTTTGTGTCACACCCATGGCCACTTTACTGGCAGTCAATGTCCTTTAATCTCTGGGCTGAGCAGTGAGAGGGAAATGTCTCTGTTTCTACCCAGCTCCACTTTTAGTGCATATTTTTGCTCTGTGCATGAGTATTTTAATGCTTGAATGTGCTCCATTTGAAGAAAAGTGAAGTGAAAGCTTTTCAAACAAACAGAAGGTCCCCCAACCAAATCCTTTCCTTTTCCATGTTATAAAGTAGTAAAACATCCATATTTATTTGAGGTCTTCTCTTGAATGGGTTTCTTGTAAGGATTCTCTGTTGCTTACCATTTCCTTTGAAGAAGTATCCACATTTCTTCCTCTGAATTTGTTCTACTTGATCTTGACAAGACTACTGAGTAATCACTCCCCTGTTTTTGTTATATAGTTTTTACTTACCAGCCTGTGAATGCAGCTTGTCAAACCTTATGATGGGTGTGATGTGAATGTTTTCACTCAAGTACATTTGACTAAGAAATATTATTGATGAATCACTAACATCATCTCTTCATTAGCTGAACTCTTGAGATTTCATTCCTTTGCTTTTGGACTTTTGTTTTGTTGAGGCTTTTGTTTTGGCTTGAGTTTTTTGTTCTTGTTTTAAATCTGAACCTGATTTTGACTTCATTGTTCAACTTTTTAGCTTTACCAAATAGGCTTTTTTCTCCTGCTGCTGTAGGGTATTTTTGAAGGGAAAAGTGCTCTTAATTGTACTAGTAGAGAATGTAAAAAATGTGGGGTTTTTTTCTTTCTTTGTTTTGCTATTCTTGGTTGCTTCTTTTCTTTAAGTGTTATAGAGCACGCCTTAGGTGAGGGCATATGATACACTTATGGATCTTAATACTCTGCATGGTGCTGTTTCTATGGGTGGCACTTCAAACAGATGTAAACTCCTACATAGTTTCACTGCTGGCCTTGTTTAGCTGCTGGCAAACTGCTCTGCAGAGCTGCTGTGGAAATGTTGAAGAAAACAGTGTATTTTTTTAAGTATATGTGGAGGAAATCAAATCCTGCCTCAAGGTTGCATCTTTTTTTTATTGGCCTTTGAACAATTGCAGCATTGTCTTGAATACATTTTTGCAAATTGCTGTTTGTGTAGCTCTAATTTCCTTTGGAACTAAGAAGTTTATAATAAAGTTGTAATCTTTGATTCATTTTAGATGTGGCTCCCAAGCAGCTGACACAAACTTCACTTACAAATCAAACTTCTGAAACTGAGAACAGGTATGGTACTTGATATGTTGTGAAATTAAAGTAACCTTGCATGGATTTGAGAGGTTTTATTGTGAGACTAACTGTTCTATTGTCTCCCAGACTCAGCTTTCTATTTCAGATAAGTGACTTGTCCCTCATAAAAAGTAGGCTTTTGTATTACCCAGTTAAGATGACATGTTTTTATTTTGTCAAGAAAATTATTATAAAAGGTATTTATAGCTGCACATTTATTTTTAAAAGTAGAATTTATCAGAATGTTATGAGTTGGGAAAACATTTCTAATATCTCTTCCTCAAATCAGATGGTAACCAGGGTTTACAACATGATTTTCACTTAGTGAATTATTTAACTTCTGGAGGAGTTTTCTAATCCATAAATCATGGGAGTCTTGTATATATGAAATCTTTTTGGGTAGGGAAGAGAGGTTTTAACTTGAGATTACTTTGTGATTGCTGTGAAATGAAGGTGTCAGCTGCCATATAAAAAAAAGTGTGTTCTAACTGCTAACCAAATTATTCGTACTACTAAGAGTTCAAATTTGTGTTTTATCCTTGATCATGTTGATTGTAGTAATTTTTGAACTATTCTGACATAATCTCTGGTTTTAGCTGGTGACAAGCTAAAGACAGTAATTTCTCTGTAGCCCATACCTTTAACAGCAGCATGGTTGGCACAGTGGCTGCTGACACTGTTTTTTGTACTTGTAATGGAAGTTAGAAGTTTGTTTTCAGTACATCTCTTTGAGGCCAGATAAACAATTCTGGCTAACCAGCCCTTTTCTACAAATTGAAAAACTCTACTACTATGGAATTTCACAGAAGATGGGTGGTAAGGGAGGTGTAAAACTAGTTCAATGATGATTTTTAGATTTTTTTCAATAAATATTAAAATCACTTCTTTTTTTTTTCCCCTGTTTATTCTTAACTGCCAAACAGCTTTATGGTATCTACTCAGATTTATTAAGGTTTATATTGAGCTTTCTTACCCTCCTTTCCATACACTATGTGAGATTTAAGCCATCATTCTTGCTGTGGCACTCCTGCTGTGACATGCAGTAACGTGCATATCTACAGCACAGCTCTCTTCAGGGCTTTGTAAGAAGAGGTTGCAGTGGGAAAAGACAACTCATCAAGTAGCTACTTAATGCAAGTTTTGGGGCACGTGACTGGAATCAAAAAAATAGCTGTGATTTAGCACAGAAAAATGCTGGTTTCAAAATGTCTGGCAAGAGTTGTTATTTGTGAGAAAGCTCATTGAATCAACCTACTACATGTACTCCAGCAGCTGCTACCATTAAGTCTTTGGCCCTGTGTCCTTAGCTTGCTCAGAAACAGAAAATATGTAAATACCTAGTTGAAGTACCAATATTTTTGTGTGTTTCGTTTGGGTGATCTCCACGAATTTTAAACAGATCTGGAATTAATGTAATTTCTCCCCTGAATAAAGTAGCAAGTTCATAGAGTAACTTTGTTGTTGATGTATTCTAGGACTTTCCAGTGTTTCTTTCAGTCGTGACCAGGGGAAACTTAAACTGAGTGAAATTCTAGTGATATCCATCCATTTATTCCCCAGGTCCTCTTTGCTGCCAGCCATCAGAAGAGAATAAGTTTGAATTGAACTTGAGAAGTTTATGACACCTGGTTTCTATTGCCCACCTAAATTTGTGGGAAAAGTTACCTGGTCTGCTTTAGCAGCCTGGTGTGTGATACCTAAAACTAGGAACCTAAAGCTTATGTAGGAAATATATAGCATTAGGCACCATCAGCCACACTCTGAAAATGGCTCACTTGAATGCTTGGGTTAATGGGTGTGACTAACCTACCCCACCTGATTATAGAAATGTAATATTTAAATTTTTATCCACACACACAAAAATTTTGTAACTAGACTAGTCAGAAACAGTATTTTTTGGTTAATCTAATCCTTTCATTTCCTTATTTTTCCATTTGAATTACAAAGTAAAATACATAGGACTGTGTTTTGGGTAATTAACTTGGATTTGCATCTGATTAAAGTTTAGTTTATGCTAGTCACAGGAGCTTTGAGTATCTAGGCTTAGATGTATAAGCAGTCCCTTTTTTAACATGACATATATTTATATTTCAAGGGTTCCATTGTCAAATCCTTCAATAGCATCAAAATGCAGTAGCCTACCACCTGAGGAACATATTCAGAAGTTAAAAGAAGCAGGAAAAGATGGTGATAAGCAACTGATCATAGTAAGTAATAACCTTTTTAGTAAGGCTTATAGCATCTTGAAGGAATTACTTCTGAATTTGCAGTACGTGTTTTTATGGACTTGTCTAAAAATCATTCCTTATACATACTACTGTTACCATTGTAAGTGATTTGGGAAAGAAGGACTTGTACTGGATTGTCATTCATCATTGGTACAAAAATGATGGCAGATAGACTAATGTTTAAAGCTGATTATTCTTAAATTTATGCTTTTTTTTTTTAATAGAACGTCTGTTGGATACAAATACAGTTGTTTTAGGGAGAATGATTTTGCCCTTATGTGCAAAATCCCAGTTTGCTAAAGTTTCAGATTTCTAGTGAAGGTTCATCCTGCAGATTGTGTGCAAAATTAGTATCAACAGATTTATTTCTACATCATTCAAGTGTCCCTTGTTCTGAGACAGATTTTCCTGTGGATGCTCTCATAGTCACCACGTTTAAACAGCAATACTAGTTTGGTTATTTGTTCTTTTTGCTGTTAGCTACCAAGGGCAGCTAGCACTTTTGAAACAAGAAAATGCAAAATGGGAAGGAAGAGTGACACACAGTAATTCTACCATCTTGTAGGATCACACGACTGGAGGGTGAAACAGTTGGAGTTTTTGGTTGTGTTTTGTTTTGTGTTTCTAATAATCCACATACCAGATAATTCTTGAGAAGTTAAAGGCTAGAGCTGTGAAGCTACAGAGCAGAATTCAGGCTGTCAGGAAGGAGGGTTCTATAGTAAGCTAACTTATTTTTGCTCATACAGTAATAGAGCTTGACTGAAGAGTTGTAGGATCTTTGGCAAGAAGACACAACTTTCTGCTTAGCTGCTGAAGAGAGGTTGTGTAGCTCTCCTGTTACAGCATTCATAGGAAAGAGGTTTTTTGCAACTTATTGTCTGTGCTGACAGCATTCTTGGCTTTAACCCAAATTATTAAGAGAGTAATATATATTTTTTCCCTTGGGTGTTCAACAGTAAAAATTTTAAGTTACCTAGTGAAATTTTAGAGTATAAAGACTGGGCCATCAGTGAAGAACACTGAGGAGAATGAGAGAGAACTAGTTTGTTTTCTGTATTTTTGGAAAATGCCAGTGAGCACTGCATTTAATCTTTAAATGTGTAAATAATAGCTTCATAATATCTAATGTATTTTGGCACTTCATAGAAATCTAATTCACTTTGATTTCAGTTCAGGGTAGGCTTTTTATTGTGTTGAAAGGGCATTTTGGTGATACCTGTAGGTCATTTCACTAAGAAAGCATTAGGTAAAGTGTGCTCTGTTATCTTTTACCTGTGGGAAAACTGCTTTTAGCATTGTTGGAATGTGTAGAGGAACTCAGATATTTTAAGCCATTTTGTAAAATACTATCCTCAACATTAGTTAGGTTGGAGATGAGACAGCTATAATGGTCAGAAGGACAGAGTTAAAAACTCTGAGGCTGAACGAGCATATCAGGAACTGGTCTGAAACCAGGATAACAAGAACAGAAGGCCCTTAAGACTGCAGGACAGGATGACCTCAAAAGTTAAAACAATCAGAAACAAGACACAATAATCAAGAGCAGTATCTAAAGGCAGTAAAATTCTGTCAACATTTGTAGATAATACCTTGTTATGGCTTCTTACACAAACCAGAGAAAAATATCGAGGTGCTGTGGTGATTTTAGTACTAAACCCCACACCTCTAGGAGGAGAATTTAAATGTAGATGTAGGACCATGCCAGTATAGTGGATTAGGTAATAGTATAATGAATTAGGTAACTGATGGAGCATGCATACAAACTTTCTGCTGTAAAATCATGTACCAAATCATACATCATTTCTTGGTTATTTGTCCTGTGTGTGAACTGCTGCTGTTTGAGCCAGCAGTGTGCTGGGTTTGTGGTTTATCTCCCAGCAGCCTTTTCTGCAGAACCAAAATAAAGCAACTGACTCGAGTCCTGTGTACAAGTTGGTTGACTTTGCACACTGGGTAAAGGACCTTTTTTGGGGAGGACTACAGTTACATCTAGAATAGTTTGTGCTAGCATCTGGAGGGGAAAAATCACTATGTTGACTTCTAAAGTACCAGACTTCGCTCATATGGGTACTCAAAAGATTGAGGATTAAGTGTATGTAACAAAATAAGGTCCCTTTTGTAATGAATAGCTCTGTTTGCAAAACCAGGATGAATTTCTTAAATGTGAATGTCCAGGCTTCTTGTAATGATCCTCTGAGAACAGGGGAAGGATTAATTTTGCTTTAAAAGCTGTTGAGGTTGAAATTTCTCCTCTACATAGAGCAGTGTTACTACACACATTCAGATCACTCAAATTAGCATTTAGAGTGTCTGTAAAAAAATTTTATAGTCAATAGCTAGAAATAATTTTTATTTCATGTTTCTAGAGCATTGTGTAAGTGAAGCAATTTCATTATTGTTCTTTGCCTTGAGTAAAGTTGGGAAGTCATGTTTTTATTCTTAGTAAGGAACATTTAACATGCAGTTTGTTACACTTTTTTTTAAAAAAAAGAAATGCTTGAAAGGTGCCATTTTGGGCTTTCTACTGTGAGATCTGATTCTTTTGGAGGTTTGTCAAGCAATTCCATCTTTATGTACTGAATTATATTTTCTTTTAGTAACTGAAGCAGAAAAACTAGCCAGGGTTAGTTTGACCCAGCACATGATACACCACCTTTGTTTTGCTGGTTTTTTGCAATTGACTTTTCCTAGTGTTTTGCATTTGTTTGACATCTGTCCTTTAATTGCCTTTAGAGTTTCTGAGGCTCATAGTCTGGGATGTTACAACACTGTCTGTGTATTCTAACCTGTGAGTTTCCTAAGCTATATTTAGTGGGGTGTTATAAATCTAGTCTCTTTTCCACAGTATGATTTATATTTTTATATTTAATCCTTAAAGATAGATCTTACTTTCCTTCTTCTCACATATAATTGCTATAATGAATAGAGCAATTTTCTGTTTTTCTTCAGTAATATAACCTTTAACAAGCTTTAAGACTGTAACAGAAGTGAAGTAATACAACTTCCTTTTGTAAAATAAATACTTGGTAGCTGTACTTGCAGCATTCTCTTTCTTTGTACACATCTAGTTATCTGAGCAGCTTTCTATCATAAAATTATCTTCATTTTGTGGTGGTACATCTAAGACAAAAGATGACAGATTTGCTTGCAGTCATACTTCTTAAAAAGCAAGTCTCTTTGGAGCATAGAACTTCAGCTGAAAACAGCAAGGAATCTAATGCTGCAAATAACTTAAAAAACCAGGGACAGGTTAGGATGGTGTTTGAAGTGTTGTGTGAAGATTTAGGCTCACTCTGGGGAGAGTATCATCTCTTTTTCTGCAGAAAGGATTTCTTTCTACAGAAGTGATTTCTTATGATGCTGAAGAAAGCTGCATAGCTGTTTTGCTTCCTTAAACTGCTAATGCCTGGTTGGCAGTTTCTCTGAAGAACTGGAGGATGGCTTTTGGGCAGTGTTTTGGTGTTCACATGAGTTATGTGCTGCCTCTTAACTGTAAGCCCAGTGTAAACAAGGCACTGGTTGCTGCATAAGTGGCTGGGGAGGGAGCAGTCACTCTTCCTTTCTTTCCACACAAATCTTAACACTTTTCCATTTCTACTTCAGTGCAGCAACCCAGATTTTTCTATCAAATTCAGGTGTCCTTTGCCCTCAAGGGAAGAATGTTTTATAAGGTTAGGTGGGGACCTGCTACAAACATTCAGACACCAAGGCCACTGACACTGTGGTGTGGGTTAACTGGCAGGCAGCTAGACACTGTGCAGCTACTCACTCCCTCCTAAGAAACAGGATGGGGCAGAAAACTCATGGGCTGAGATAAGAACAGTGTTAACAGATAAAGGAAAAAATGTGTGTGGGCAAGCAAAGCAAAATAAAGAATGAATTTGCTGCTTCCCATGGGGTTGCAGGTGTTGAGCCATCTCCAGGGAAGCAGGACTTCCTCATGTAACACTGTTAACTCCAAATATCCTCCTCTTCCTCCCTCTTTCCCCCAGCTCTTGTTGCTCAGCATGGCATTATAGTATGGAACACCCTGCTGGTCAGCTGTCCAGGCTGTCCCCTCCCAGCTCCTGTGTGCCCCCAGCCTGCTGGCTGCTGGGAGGGGATGGGAAACAGGGAAGAGCTCCATGTGCTGTGTGAGCACTGTGCAGCAAGAGCACTGTCCTGCTCACAGATCTAAAACACAGCACCTGAGCAGCTGCTGGGAAAGCAATGAACCTTATCCCAGCCAAAACCAGCACACATTGGGACACATGCTCCAGTAGTCCTTAATTATGTTTTTATATGGGTTGAAAGTGGATTAATTGTCCGTTGTAAATATTGTGCAGGTTTGTTTTTTAACTTTGTATTTTTTTCATGTTACTGATGACCAGTGAGGAGATCACTTCATGATGGTTAATGACCCTCCATTTTAATTTTTCAAATACATTAGGATTAGATTAGTTCTGAAAGTTTCAGGTTGATTTATATCCCTTGGCTAAAATGGCATTTCAGAGAGATGGGTACTGGTGATGGGGGTTTGTTGTTGGTTGGGGTGTTTTTCTAAATTCCACAATCTTCATTTTTAAGTGAAACTTGTTTCTGAGTGGGGTCATGTCTTCTGATCCTCCTGATCAGTGAGGGGTCTTCCCATCAGCTTCAGTCTTGAATGCATCTTTCACTGGAATAGCTTTCTTTGACCTTTTCATTTTATGTGGAGAGCCCAACAATCTTTGTTTTTCCTTCCTGTTCTTCTTGTATTTCCTTTCCAGCCTGCCTGTTTCTGTGGCTGGGTTTTATTCTTTGTTCTATGAGAAGACTAGAGGAAAAAATAATCTTCCTCTAACTAACATTAGGTAATCAAGAAAGAGGTGACCTAATCTGTGCCTGAAGAGAGAGGGGAAAAAAAGGGCCACTTTTCATCTCCTACAGAGGCACCATATGCCTTTTTTGCTTGCAGGGCTCCTTATTCCACATATGGAGGATCAGCAGACATGCACCTTCACAGAGAAGATGTTGGTAAGACTTTTCTTTCTGTCTAACACAGAATTAAGAAACCCACCTGGAGATTAAGGCAGAGTTGTCACAATATTCAATTGCAGCTAGCCTTGAAACAGTGGGTCTCACATATCCTGTGCTGGTATTGAGGAGTGCCTGAGATGCTGGGAATGCTTATTTGCCATCTACACATGTAGAATTTGCTTAGGAAATAAAAGTATCTTTTTAGAAAAGTCAGTTTTAAATAGAGTAACATTATTCTGCTTGTAAACCCACATTTACTTAAATCCTGCTCTGAAAAACTTCCCTAAGTCCTGATAGTCGAATCTCTTAAATTTTCTTTCTGGTTGTGACAAGTGAACAGTTTATCCTCCAGTACCCAGTATCTGATGTTTACTGAGAAGAATTTTTTTTCCCCAAAAATCCCAGTTTTTTATTTACTCTCCTATGTGGTGCATAAGATGTTCCTGGGTGGTTTGTTGTTGTTGCTCCCTCCCCATTAGGAAGGACTGGCAACCTTTAATGCAGTGTTATTGTTTGGGAGCACTTTTCCCCTCTTGATACATGCTCCTTTCACTTTTGCCTGTGAAATATCAGGTTAAAAATAGATTCTGTATGTATTTTGTTAAAGAAGAAAAATGCATTCTTTGTAATTCCTGACTTAATTTTGTGTGTCCTGTTGGTTTTTGTTGTTGTAGTCTGCATTGAATTTACAAAGCTGGGGCCATTTGGGTTTGTTTGGTTTGTGTTTTTTTTTCTCTGAATCATTATGTCCCCTGGTGTGGCTGAGGTAGTACTTCAGTTACACAAAAATGCTGTCTTTTCTGCTCTCAGAATACTGTAAAGTACGTGCTAAAATGTATAGTCAGCTTTTGGTAGGGCTACAGGTTTAAAATGATTGTTTTAGGTACTACAGTGTGGATTTTTTCTGATAATTCCTGTAACAGATTTTTAATATTAACCTCTGTGTGTAGCCCATCGATACAATGGAATGCACATAAAACTAGTGATATAAAAAAAAAAACCCAAATCCAAACAAAAAATCCCCTCAAAACCACAAATCCACTGATAGCAGCAACAGCCAAGAAAATCAGGCTGTAAAATACAGTATGATAGTGCTGTTCCAGGGGAACAGTCTGATCCTGGAGCCTTGCAGAACAGCTTGTGTACAAGGCAAGATGGGATGCCTGAGGAGCCTGACAGCTTGGAGGGTATCCTCATCACAGTTTGGTAGGAAACTAGCAGATATTTTAGCTCAAGTACCCTTAGCTTCTAGATCACTCAAATAGAAGTTGTTTCATGAGACTTAGTACTGACATGTGCTAAGTATTTTAAGTGTTGTTTTATGTAGCTGATTTTCTGATTATGTGTCTTATTTTTTGAAGTCTATTCCAAGCATCAAAGTAGTTCCCTCTTCACTTCCCTTACCTTACATAACAGGGCATGTTCTCCATCCTCAAGATAGGAAAGTCTGGTTTGATTGATTCATCTTAGGATACTCACCATACATCAACCTTCCTGCTTCTGCTGAACTGCCTTTTTTCATTTTTCATGTGTAAACTTCTGAAATGCAGAATGTTTTGGTGGCTACTTTGTTTTGAACTATATTGCTGCTTTAAAGGAAGCCTGCAGGTTAAAAAAAAAAATGTATTGGTTTCAATTTTTATACCTTCAGAAAACTCATCTTGTTCTGACTGCAGATCTAACCTCAGGGTTCATCTTTCCTTTTTCCTTCAGAAAATGGATATACTCCTGTTTCTGCTTCAGTGGGTGGTAGGAATGTATAGATTGATGTACCATTGAAGCAATGACTTCTCAGATTCAGCTTCTGTGGCTGGCTGAATTCCATACACGTGCTCCTAAAGAGAAGTTCAACTCTGAGTGTGTCTGGCCAGTTGTAGCTTTAGTCTCATCTTGGAAAGAAGCTGGTACCTCCATTTTAGGTTGCACCAGTGACTGCTGGAAATGAGTTGCTGTTGTGTAGGGAGCTGAGCTGTCATCTGGCTCTTAGATGTACTTAAAGGTATCTTTGAAGGTGGAAGGAGTAAGGAATAATTCATAAACACTTGTGGTACTGCAGAATGCTTTCTTCTGTAAAGCAGGCTTTTTTATTATCAGTGTTTTCAGCTTTTAGAAAGCAAAATTAAGTTCAGATGATCTGTTTTCTTGCAAACTGTGCACTTTGAATTTGTGCACACAGATCAGTTTCTTGTTAAAAAGCACCCTCAAGCTGTCTTCTGCTCATGTAGTACCCTAGCTTGGAGCATAATGTAACATTGTTTCTCTACTAATTGTGGTAGTTGTTAAAATAGATTAAAAGTGACATTTATTGCTGCTTCCATAAACTCAAATTTCTAAATGTAGTTTAAAAAAAGTGTATTTGAGCCTTAAGCCATAATTTAAACCATACCCTTTTGGCTAGAGTCTTCAGTCTAACTGGTATTCTTTTGCTCTTTGCAAAAGGCACCCCCTGCACCTGACACCTCACTCTGTTAGGCACTGAATCCTTAATTTGATCATGCTTCCAAATTAATGACACTGTTTTAATGAGTAAATAGCAAAGCACTAGGTACTCAGTAGTGCCCTTAGCTGTGGTAATGGTTTGTAGAGTAGGAGGGTAACCTAAATGGTCATGGGTGTCCAGTGTCTGAAAAATAAAAGTTATGAACCCTGTGCAATTAAGATAGGATGTCAAACATCATAATTAGCTATTCCCAATTAAGAGCTGGGTCTTAAGTCCTGAGAGTATGTAAAATGAGGCTTTCAATCAATGAAGAGAGGGATAAAACCCCATGATGCTATTTGATTACACTGAAATATTTGGTTTTTGTAAAAACCTAGAAGATGGTGACACACTGTTGCACATGTATTGCTGGCTGTCACAGTTGATTACCTTGAAATATTTGGGGTTTGTAATATCCTTCCAAACATTCAGGAAAACTGCCCCACCTTTGTCCCACCTCAAAGCAGTTCACAACCAAAAGAGGCAGCA